TACTGCCCGTAGCAGCCCTATGTGCTCCTCCAGGACTGTGCTCTTTTATTCCAACAACAACCTCTGACTTTCAAGTGGCATTCAAAGACACCATCTACTCACTAACTTCAACCTTGTGCTTCACCATTGCTTTCTCAATCCTAGGACATATTTTCTTTGATTTCAGTAAAGTCTCCAGTGCCCAAGCTTATCTATTTCCTTTCAGGTTTCTGTCATCATCATCATTTTTCTTTTTCCTGAGCGCAAACTCAGAAACACCTTCCTGTTTCTCTTGTATTTCCCTAATGACTATGCCTCTGGTTAGTGGAATGTAAAGCAATGTGTATCATTTTATGGGCTGGTCCTTCAAAGCTCTTTCACTCAGGCTTCTGTTTCTTTGCCATTTACTGAAGAAAAGAGAAGATTCTAAAGTCCAACAATGTTATGGTGTCGGATTAATATAACAATAGAGTCATAATTTGATGGCATTATTGGGTAGTAGTGGGAAGTAGGAGGTTGGGCTTAATTAGTCACTAGATGTCTGATCTTGGTGCCTTTGGAAGGGTGTATCTTCTACTTAATCCTGCCTCACTCTCCGCTCTCTGGCCACCATGAGATGAGCAAGTCAGCTTCACTGTGCCTTTACCATGACGCTCTGGCTCAAGACAAGGAAGTCAGGAAAACATAGTGAATCTATTGTTACATTAATCCAACAGTTGAGACAAAGTACTTATGCTCCAGCCATTTCAGCTGGCTCCCAGGTCTTGACCCTGCAAGCCTCAGGGGACATTTTATATTGACACCTTGAGTCAAAATAAATCCTTCCTCCCTTAAGCTGTTTCTTTCAGGTATTTTGTCATAGTGACAAAGTCTGACTATGACTTCGTGTAAAGTGAGATGCCCCTGTTTTGATGATTTCTTTGGATTGTTAAACACAGTGAATCAAACTTTCATTATGCTAAGCTGCTGAGATTCTGAGATTGTTTGTTACTTGAGTAACCTATCTTGATTTATACGCTAATCAAAACTACTCACATTAAACAGTACTTTACCACAACTTCTCGCTCTTCAAAATTTTAATGCATAGTTTCTCTTGATCTTCTATGTTGACTCTAGAAAAATCTTAGCTCAAGACAGTTCAGTTACATGTACATGTAGCCTTAGCTTATTTTATTTTATTTTATTTTATTTTATTTTATGTGTATGCATGTATTGCCTGCATGTAGGTAAGTGTACCCATGTTGTGAAGTGCCCACAGAGGACAGAAGAGGCCATCGGATCCCCTGGAACTGGAGTTACTGACAGTTCTGTTAGCTGTCACGTGGGTGCTGGGATTCGAACCTGGGTCCTCTGCAAGAACAGCCAGTGTTCTTAACTGCTGAGCCATCTCTCCAGGCCCTGTCCTTAGCTATATGTTACCTCACAGCTGTAGAACAGAAGAGCAGCCTTCAAGGACCAGAGCCTATCTCATGACTTTGGTAGCCACTATATACATACTGTGTGTGTATATACTGTAAAACATGTAGCTCCATTCTACAGGACTCCTGAACTGCAAGCTCTAATGATATCTCCAACAGACACACAAAAAATCATACGTTCTGTTCCAACTTCCCCTGACAGGCTCCTTCTTCTTCTCCTGGCCTTGCTTTGTAAGTGGATTCCCTTAGCCATAGGGCTGGGAGGGTGACTTATTCTTCTAAGAACTACTCATAAACCCTCCAATGCTATACCTTAAATATATTATGAATCTTTTCCTTCTTCCTTGTGCTTCCTGCTACAAATATTTTAAGTTTTCTTATCTGAATTTCTTCAAATATACTATCATTTTTTTCTCACTGTACTTGGACTCCTCCTACCATTCTGCGTGGCTGTCGCACAAAGCTTTCTGATACAAAAATCAGTTAGCATCCCTAACATATTGGAAATCCATCACTGGCTCGCCTGTACCTTTGAAGAAATAGTTCTCTGTCTCTTTTAAACACCAGATACTTTTATCCAGCTCCTGACCAGAGGTTTTCCACGGTGGCTCAGTCTCAACAGAGCTACTCTTCTTGAGTCCAAATCTAAAATTAACCTTCTTGGTATGTTCTTTTCTCCATCAGAGCATCACTATCTTATCTGCACCTAAATCAGAAATCTGACAGCAATAGAGTCTCCAGCCCTCTCCCCAACATCCAGTTTATCACAGATCTTCTGAATTCTTCCTACTCAGTATGTCTTGAATTTATTACCATCTTCACAAACTCAGAAATACCCCCAATCTCTTATCCACATTTCCCAGCCAGTCTCTTCTTTCCATCTTGCCTCCCCTTCAAATTCTTCTTCCATTTCCAAAGCAGAAAGATGTTTCTGAAATGTTGATGTGATTGGACTTAAAACCTTACAGTGATAGTCCACTTTTTCAGCAAACAAATAGAGTTTTACTGGAACTCAGATCCTCGTTGCAGCAGACAAAAAAAAAATCATAAATAAGAAAGATTACTTTAAACAGTGTAAGATGCAGGGGAGGGAGGGTAATCAACACAAGGAATAAGGCCAGCCTCTTGCAGAAGTGATGTTTCCGTAAGACCTGAGCAAGCAGACATAGCTAGAATTGGTATAGAATGCAGACTGCATAGTGCTGAGTTACCAACACCTCCACTATGGAGGGAGCTCCCCAGGGTCTGCAGAGCCTCTGACTGATTCACCATACTGCTCTGAACACAGGTTTTGTCACATTTATATTTTAAATACGTTTGATGAGTACAGAGATGAAGGTTACATTTAAATTGTGTAAAACCTAGGTTTATATAAATTGTGTGTTTATAATTGTTGTGTTATTTGTTGACATCAACTTGTAGGACTATCAAAATTGCCAGACAGAAATGAATTGTATTAAGACTATAAAGAACAAATTTGTTTTTCCTAAGTCCTTTCAAAGTATTTCAGAACAGGTGCTACATGACAGTCTCCTACAAGCAGGATCCCTCAGAGTACAGCAGATTGGAAAAATCTCTTTCAAGACAGGGCAGTTTTATCATATTAGCAAGCATCAGTTGGAAGGCTGGGATCCAATGTCCTTGACTTTGAGTCTTTTGATGGGCAAAACTGTTTTCATACAAATTCAAATCAACATTAAAAAAGAAGATTCATAATGAGAACAATTTTAAGTCATAATGGTGCGTCTCTGCTAAGCAGAAAAACTGTAAAAGATCCTCTAAAATATATTGTCTTGTGTTGTAGATTGTTGGACTGGATTCTAGAAAAACAATATATTGAGATTCATAACGCATTGGCTACAAATTGAGAGTATTTTTTAACTGGCATCAAAATTTGACCTAATATAAGAAGATTTACCTCCTCCGTTTACTCTATTTGATGTGACTTTTAATTTGTTTCACTACATACATTAGGCTATGTTGGTTGGCAGGGTGTTACCTATGACCCCATGGGAACGTTGAGTAATATATAACACAATAAATGCATTGTTTTTCTAGAGTTAAAATAATTCTGACTTTCAAGACTTAAGTGGCCTTAAGAATTTTTCTATTGAAAACACCCAATTCTATTATCTATGGTTACAAAACTTATATGATGTGTGGAATTTGATGTACTTATCAAAAACAAAGTCACAGAAACACAGTTATCATGATTTTAGCATTAACAAGGTTCATAATTGAAAGCATCTCCAAATTTCCCCTCAGATCTAATTTAAACTAGGCATCTATACCATTACACAACTGCTTTTCCTCTATGTGTCTTCTGACCATGAGGAAACTCTTACAGGTAAATCCGCACTACACCCACTCACAATCAAGACTTTGTGGGCATTGGAATAACTTGCCATAATTTTTCATTTCCAAGTGCTTCATTATCTACATTTTATAACTTTCATAATTTTCTCATACTTAATATATTTTCTCCTAAAAATTTCAAGTAGCACCTGCCCCCTGATAGCAAGGTTTCTACTCTATCTATGGGATATGTCTTACACTTGGCTGTAAGTTTCATTATGACTATCATTTCCGACTCTCACAATCACCCTGCAGACATTTTCTTTTTAAAACAGGGTCTTATTGTGTAACTCGGGCTGGACTTGAACTCACTATGTAGCTCAGGCTGGCCTTGAACTCATGGCAGTCTACCTGCCTCACTTCCTGAAAACCTCCACACTTGATTTTGCAGGGATATATTCTATTCTTCCCATCACAGATCTATGCAAATGCAGGATCATTTTATCTAAAGCTCCCAAGGGGAAAAGTTGAAGCTGAACCCAGGAACACTGAGGTCTAAAGCTTGTGTCTTCCAAACATCAGGGACAAATAACTAGCCCTTGTGCCAATCTCATTCCCAGTGCATGCAGTTAGAAAGACAAACCTACTTCATTCACAGTACAAATGGGAGCACAATCTCTTCCTAAGTTCCTATGCTACCCATTTGATCATGTCACATACTCCTATGAAATGTAGGGAGGGTATCTAATTTTACGATTCAACTTTACATTCATATAAAAAAATATCATTTTGCTTTTGGTCTTTTATTCTTAAAAAGTACAAATAATTATAACTGGTAAGCTTATAAATGTATAGAGCAAAGTCAGATGTTCAGCATTCACCCACCTTTTGGAAGCATCATCTACATTTATTGGAAACATTATCACGTGTGGGGGAAAAAGAAAGGCTTACACCTCAGAACAACAAAGCAGAGAAGAACAGGGAGGGAGATAATTAATGATTTTAATTATTTTAAGGCCCATTAAAATTAGAGAAATATCGAAGCACTCACAATGTTAAGGGTTATTGTTACAGCATTTTAGAGTTTACTAGTTCATACCTTTCAATCACAGCAAGTTAATAGCAGTGAAGGCTATCCCTCTGAAGAGAATTTTTTATTTCAGTGATAGGATGTTATGAACAAGACAACCTAAGTTTAAAAAAAAATTAGTAGCAAGCGCTAGTTGAGTTAATCAGTTAAAGACAAACTGTGCCCTTGGGAAGCTAAATGAAAAAGCAACAGTAAAGCTTACAGAACTTAGCTCGTACAATTTGCCTTGAAGGCGGAAGATTGGTTCCCTGAAATAGCAAAGAATTATATGCTTTAGTTCAGAAAAAAAAAAAGAGTTTTTAAAATAAAGTCTGTTATTACCTCTTCTCCTTTCAAAACAATGGGAAAAAAAGTCTAGAGCAGAGGTTTCAATTTGTCCAATAATTGTACCTCTACATTCAAAAAAGAAAACCTTAAAAAATCATCATTGTTTTGACTTGAAAAGAAATAACAATGCAAATATTCATTATCACATAAAACATAAAAGAAACAGCAAACTGCCAGGGTTAATTCAATCTCTGCAGAGCGCTATTAGTCAGAGACAGCTGGTCAGTCCCCAAACACAAAAACTCAAATGATCAGATCTTTGTAGACATTAACAGCTTCATTAACCAATAGGAATTTGGCGTGGCAGATATTAAATCCAACACTGCCTTCTTTATGAGCTGTCCTTTCACTGTTACCAAGCTGTGCAAATGTGTGAACTAGCCAGCAGCACCAGAAAGCCCATGCAACTAGTTACTCACCGTACTTTAACCTTGAACTGACTCACAGATTCAATGTTAAATTAAGTTCAGTGGTAATGGAAGCAAGCGAAAGAGGACACAAAAGGTCGCGTTCAGGGTGCACAGCAAGTAGCAGAAGTTACTTAATTAAGGTAAGTCAATGTGGTTAACTGCGAAAATAGCCAAAAAGAAATGCAGTCCACACACACACACACACACACACACACACACACACACACACAAAACCTCGAAAAGCAAAAATAAAACAAAAAGCTGCATCTCAAGCAAAAACTGAATATGATTAATTTGCATTAAAAAATTGTCAGTCAAGCAATTTAGTTCCAATGCTCTGGGCAGCATGCACTGAATCTCTTGCACAGTTCCTACCTGATTTCCAATTGTGGTTTTCTTGTGAACCTGACTGCTCCTCTGCTGAGCACTGAGAAAAGCAAAGGAAAGCAGCACTGAAAAAACTCATAAGACTTTTTTCTCTAAACAAGTAACAAATACTAAAGTGTCTTACAGCCTTAAAAATGTCAACTGAGGCAGAAGTAATGTCAACAACCCAGGTCCTATTTAATTCTGGAAGATAAAACAACCCAGTGGGACTTCTAGCAGCAATTACCAACCAGAAACAATGACTATATACCTCCATGTGGGAAAAGCTGCATTAATATCAATGAGTTGATGTATGCAGGCATTCCCACAGGTCTACATAATAACGGGAATGAAGATTAAGTTAATGCTTACAGAGCATATGCCACGTGCTACATGCTAGTGATTTTAAGTCACACAACCCTCTGAGGTAAGTACTATTACTCTTCTGATTTTCCAAATGGAGAGAAGGAGTAAGAGAAAAAACTAAATGACTTTCCCAAAGTCACTCAGCTAGCAAAGAGGTGGTACCAAGCAGTAAGGCTCCATATCCTGAACAAGTTGTGAGGCTGTCCAACCTTATTGCCTTGAATTCCTTATATTCTGACAGCTCCCATTAGTTCATTTCCAGTGGGAATCAATTGTCCCAAGTCTGGGAAGTGGTTTTGACCATTCAACAACTCCACTTGCATACTTCACAAGCATCACAGAGCTAGGATGTAAAACAATGCCTGATAGTTTCCCTGAATCCTCGCCCACCATAGTCCCCCTTCCTCATTAGTGGCATTTCTGTACCACAGTTCCACTTGTTCAGTTCAACTATGTGGCTTTTCTTCTCTCACATATATGCAGCCCTTGGTGACTGCAGCTGGCTCTACCTTCTAGAATGCGTTTAAGCTCAGCTGTCTTTTCATCACTTTAATTGCTGACTCCTGGGAGCAAGACACCCTGGCCTTTCATCTGGATTCACGCATTTATTCTCAGGTTTCTGTGTCTCAATTCAGAAATCAGAGTGATCTTTATAAAACAGAATCATGTTATTCTTCTGCTCAGAACCTTCTCACTCCATCAGCACTGTTCTATGCAAAGGCCAAAGCCAAAGTCCCTACCATGGGCCTCCATGCCCTACTCAACTAATCCGTACCGTCTGCCTCTTTGATTTGTCTCCTCCCTTCACCTCACTCTCTGGTGAGGTCCAGTCACCCTGGCTTCTTCCATAGCCATCCTGGCATAGCTCCACCTCTGAAGCTTTATGCATGTTATGGCCTTAAAGATATTTCTCCTATACACCTACGTGGCTTCTAACATCTCTTCAAGTTTGGCCCAGATTTAGCTTTTCAGTAAGACCTAAGTTGACTACTATATTTAAAACTGTGTCCATCCTTTACTCCACCCTTCCAGCTTCTTTATCCTTCTCTGCTTCTTGGTATGGCATTTTCACCTTCCAATGTGTTATATGTTTTATGTTTGTCTGTCTGACCTCCTATAAGCTCCTTGTGACTGGGATTTAGTGCTCATTTTCTTCATTCTTCTAGCCCAGGGATTTACAAAGGACCTGCCATAGTTAGCTCCAATGGATATCTACTGAATAAAAAGTTCCATGAGACTAAGGTCATTTTAAAATGAGAACAAAGGGAGTGGTTAAAAGCCAGTTATCAGTCTTAACAATTTAGCCCCAGAGCCTCCACAGTTAAATATGATGCCATTCTACCCCTCAGAAGAATGAAGGATCTCTTTTGGCAGGTACATGGATCTACCTAAAAGATACAAGGAAACACAATTCATTGGGTATTCCTTCTGTCAGCTTGTCTAACAATTTTGGAGGACAAGGGGATGGTCTGAAACAAAAAAGAGGTAAATTAAAACCATCAGCTGTCTGTTTAAAGTGGGGAGAATGTTATGGTTCAGTAGCAAGTTGGAAATCAAAGCCCTGCTTAGAACAGTTGTTCAAAATAGCAGTCTTTTGTAATCTTCCCTGATGTATTTAAGCTGCTTGCCTTCACTCAAACTCATAAAAACCACACGACATTCATGAGGCTGGGCAGGGGTGGGTGAGTGGTGAAAGGCTGCACTATGTTTGGTTGCTGGAGATACTTTGTGTGTATTTTTGTTTTTCAATTACTAATTTACTAATTTTAGTTTCTTTCTTTCTTGTCTTTGGCTTAGTTTGATAGTTTTAAACTAAATGCCTAATTCCCTTCATAACTTTTCAACCATTCTCTTGAATAATCTCAGCCATAGGTCTTAGGGTTTTGTGAGAAAGGATGTAAAAGGGGTCCTGATTCTGTGTGTGGCCAAGATCCAATGGGCCCACACTGCCCTCTGGCTGCCCACCAAACCAAACACGGCTCTGCTAGAGCTTGGTCTCTTCAAAGTCACCTTCCCAGAGCCCCCACAGGCTTTTCCCTCTTCTAGGAGTAAACAGGAAAATGATCACTTCATGAGCTGTGGACATCTCTTCCAATATATGATTGCATTTAAGGGTTCCTTTTATGGAACGTGGGTTTTTTAATATATTATTTATTATTTTTATTTTATGTTTATAAATGTATTGCCTGCATGTATGTAAGTGTACCTGTGTCATGCAGTGCCCTTGGAGGTCACACAATGGTGTCGGATCCCCTGGAACTGGAGTTATGGATAGTTGTAAGCTACCATACGGGTCCTGGGAATCAAACTCCTGTCCTCTGCATGAGCAGCTATTGTTCTTAACCATGGAGTCATCTCTCCAGCCCCAATAGGACATATTTTTAACAAACCCCCAAGTACTTTTTATAACTTCTGTTATGATTTAACAAACCCATAGGTGTACATTCTGATAAAGTATTAAAGGCTCTAAACTTATGTGTAAATTCCCTTAATATCACTGGAAAGGCTAAAAAACAGAATAAAGAGCAAAGGACACTCAGCCTGAGGTGGGTTAATCTCAATGAACCACAAATTCTCAGTGGCATAATGTTAATGTGGGGCGGGGGTGGGGGGGTAGGTTAAACTAGCTGTATCTTAGGCTTGAAGGGTTTTGTTTATTTGTTTTAGTTTTGGTTTCAGTGTCTGGAGTTTTTGTAGTGCAAGAAATTGAACCCAAGATATCATATATGATAGGCAAAGGTTCTTCCACTGAGATATGTCCCCAACCTCCTTAAGTTCCTTCTAGACCCAGGGGATGTTTCCTTGAGATGCAAAATTCCTCTCAGTAGCTCATTAGCAAGACTGCATAAAGGGAATTTCTTCTAAAAGAGTTTCCATAGGAGATAAAAGTCTTTTTAGGCTCTACTGCTTATAAAATAATATACACTTATTTTATGAATCAATCTGAAATATCAGGGTTAGAATAAACACTAACTACCATTACTTTGTATCTAAAGAATAACCTTCTTGCAGCAACTAGTCCCATAAATTAAAACATACTATTGGTAATTATGTATTGCTTCATACATAAAAAGAAAGCTGTTTATTTAGAATACATCTTATAATGCTTGATAATTGAGCTATAAGTATTTTCAAAGCACTTAATAATGTTTTCATGAGAAAATATGTAGAGACTTAATTTGAGTCCTTGGATAGATTCTAAGATGTGAATATTTAACTGTATCTATGGAAATGCCTATACACAGTGTTTTAATCTGACATAAATCAAAAATGTTAGTGCACCAACCTGGAAGAGGACATAAACATGAACAAGGTTTACAAGGTTTTCTCCTTTTAACAGATATCTGCAATATATCTAGTTCAGATACATATATACATATATATGGGAAACACGAATAACAAATATGGGATCTTTGTTAAAATAAACAAGAGGATATATTAGAAATGATAAATAAGTGTCCTGTTTTAAATGTGGGATAAAACTACCCCATACTGCTGGGCATGGTGGCTCAGGTCTTTGATCCCCACACTTGGGAGGCACAGGTGGATCTCTTGAGATCAAGGCCAGCCTGGTCTCTATTGTGAGTTCCAGACCAGTGTGGCTATGAGGAGACCCTGTCTAAAATAGACCAAAATAAAATTACTCTATATCTTACTGTATTTGTGCATGTTTGCAGTTGATTCTGTTTCTATAACATACAAGTAAGTCGTTGCACAAGGCTATGCCAGAGCACTAAAGCATAAACCAAACTGAAATTAGGTTTATGCCATAGACAATGATTCTAAAAGTAAATAATAGGGGCTATAGACATGGCTCAGTGGTTAAGAGCACTTACTGCTCTTTCAGAGGACCTGGGTTCAGTTCTCAGCATCCACCTGGTAGCTAATAACCATTCTCAGTTCTAGTTTCAGGTGAGCAAATGCCATCTTCTGGCCTCTGCAGCCATTCCACACACATGGTGTACTTCCATACATGCAGACAAAACACTCGTGCACATAAAATAAAATAAAATCTTTACTAAAATCAAAATAACAAAAATTGAAACTTTATAAAAAATAAGAATACGTTAAAAGACATCCAAACAAAAAGAAGCCATGATGTCACTTCTCCCCCACACTACTTTTGCACATTCCCTTCTGTCCTTATCTGTGTGTACATACAGAGATTCAAGTAAAACAGAGAAGCGTGCCAAGGAGGTAAGTGACCTTTTATCAAACAAGTCCTATGCATGGCAATTGCTTAGAAAGCTCAGAGATAAGGAGTACAATTTCAGCTGACATGATCTGAAATTTTTACAGAAAACTTAAAAGATAAATTCTAATGCAAAAAGACCACCAACTGTTCTCCAAGACCACAGACTAGTACTAGCAAAACAGGATGTGGAAAGGAGGCACATGTGTAGGGAGGCTGAGAACAAAACTTTTATGGCAGAATTATGTAATCATGGACTCAGTTTGTAAATGGCCTTAAAAGCTTTCTAGCCTAGTAGCTATATATTGGGGCCAATTACGGAGAATTTGGCCATTACACTGCAGCAGATAGCGTTTAATAGTTCTAAGCCAGAAAATTACATGATCAAAGAATTATTTGTATAAATCACTTCCCCAAAATGGGCAGTACTGACTCTCCAGCCAGGAAGGGGTGAAGCAGGCAGGCCAGATCAACCCCCTACAGCTTTCAAAGTTGAATCAAGA